ATATATATATATATATATATATATATATATATATATATATATATACATCGATTTCGCCGCGACGAGACGCGAACGACTACCACGAGCTTCCAGCTGTACAAGGTCTTAATGGTCCGATTTTATGGAAATCGCTGTAAGCTTCTGCCAGCTGTTCCCATTACGTTTCCGTTATGTTCTGTAAAATCCCCCGCGCCTTGGGCACTCAGTTCTTATGGAGGGCGCGCTGGCTCGCTACAAAAACGCTGTAAAAGAATTTAATCGAAAGAGAAATAATCTGCAATTGCGAACATCCGTCCGATATCTGCAGCGCGTATGTCAGATAAAAACTATATTAAACCGGCGATAATTCAGTTTGTCGAGAGCGAGCTCTCTTTCTTTTTCTACCTCTCTTTCTCTCCCTTTTCATCGACGATATAAAAGATATTGGCTTCGCTCAGCGCGCACATGTTCGTAAAAAATACTCGCAGGTCAGAAATGAATCGCGCTCCCGTCGTTCGGGCGAACCAGTTTCTGATCCATCCGGGTCTCGTAGCGGCTCAACGAGCGTCTTCTGGCAAAGAAGTGTCTCGGCCCTAAAAGTTCACTGTGGATCTCCTTCCGATACTGCCGGAAGTTGGGCGAGAAAGGGAGAACGCGCGCGGCAGAAGCCGCACTGAAATCTCCGAGAAGACGGCGCGAATCTCCTCCCCGGCTCTCGAATAATAAATATGCATGCTACCGAGAAGCATTAGCGAGAAGTAACTCTTTCCTTTGGTGAAATGCAAAAACGCGCATACCCGCGGCGCATCTAACCGGGAAAGTATTGTTCTTCCAGCGCGCTTTTGCGCTGCCCGAAAACGTCCGTTGGTAAATTGAAAAACAAAGCTCGCTATTAGCCGCCAGCGCACGTAAATGGAATGTTACCCAAAATTGCGAAAAATCAGAATTCAGGGAATTATCAAAATATTTCGGCAAGCCATGTGTCGAAATGCAGCTCTGATTAATGGAATTCGTGTGATAGAAGAAGAAAGGAAAAATTCGCAACAAATATCGGTCGAGCATTGGAACATAATTTCATGAAACACGACGCCATAGATTTATCTAATATTGCCGACGCGTTAAAATTTTACAATGCCTGGCGCGTGACGTAAGGAGAATACAAACGGTTAAAATGCATTACATAATTTTGCAAAAACGCGAATCACGGCGTTGATCCCGTCGAACAATACACGCGTATATTCACTGTGTTGCACACTGCGTGTAGAAATGAGAAAGAAGGGAACGAAAAAAAGCAATCTATTGGACGAGATGAAGTAGAGAAAGGCTTGCTTTTTATCATGAAAATACTTATCAGCATGACGTGTAACGAACGTGACATTATCTGATTCGAATGTGTTACAATTTCAAGTGTTGATTTTCTTCGTCAGTAGGTAAAAATAAAAATATAATCGCGTAAAATAAAAAGACCTCTTGTTACACGACATTTCGCTAGGCAGCGAAGAAAATTATGATAATTTCAACTTTCCCTTTTTTTTCAATTAAGCGACTTTTTCTAAATATCGCTTTACAATGTATACAGATAGCAATAGCAAAAATGGAAATACAAATAATACAGGAATGTAGTTATCGGTTTCCATCATACGACTTTTCAAGAATTTTTTTTAACTAAATTTCGTCAAACAATTCAGTATATTACGAATAAGAAGTATCAATTCCCGTACCTAATTCTACCTAATTCTTATTGCTTTGATCTTTAAATACACAGAAAAAACGATATAGTTGGACTACACATAGATTTGCTCGTGCTAACAGACTCAACGTTGTTTAAACTTTCATTAAACTTTTAAGAAAAAAAAAGAAAAAAAAATATATATATTCTATATTGAATATTTGTATCCAAAGACTCAAACTTAAGAATGTCCAGGATAGGAATTGGTGCTTTTACCTGTGTGATTGTGTTCTCATTCTGTAAAAGCTCGTTTATGAAAGCTTTTGACGCTTTTTTGATAGTCATAATAACATGACAACGAGGCTGCAATCTGTATCCTCTGCGTCCGGATTTTAGAACTTGTTTCACATCGTCTGGCAGAAGAGGAACGAGAATTTCGTGTACGAACGGAGAACATTGCTGTCAGCAACAGCAGGCGGGCATAACGATTTTGTTGTTTCGCTGGCCAGCGCGGCTACGGAACGGTCTGTTAGAATATCGTATTTGGCGGATCAAGGACGTAGACGTTCTCGATGCGCCGCATTGTTTGCCCGGAAAGTATGCCGCGGTATCATGCGTTGTTAAAAAAATCACGGCCGTTAATACGCTAAGTACACACGAAGGAAAGTTCACGAGGCTTCGATTATGCAATTGCAAAAGTGGAGGAATCGCGTTTGTTCTGGTACTATCGTTGATCATTATTACTGATTACGATTTCTTTAAATATATCACATGAGATTTGTGGTTTCGAAATCGCTGTGTCAAGTGACGCGATATGAATGTACCGATTATTCACACGATAACGCATATCGTTAAGCATTGATTAATTGAGTGAAGAAAAAATATTGTACATTGGATTAAATGTTATCATTATAGGTCAAGGTAAGAGAGGTTCTCTTTTGCAAACAAAATTATGGATGTTAAAAATTTTCAAATTTTTAACATCCATAATATTGTTATTTTCAAGAACAATATACGTGTATATTTTTTCCTCTCTGTAACATTTTATATAAGTGTCTGAGAAGTGCAGTTTACCATTCGTAATATCATTCGTTGGTTAGCAACGTTGATAAAAATATGTAAGGAAGTCAAACCACTGTCGTGTCCTGCCTAGAAGTAGGGTCTCAAAGGGTTAATTAAAACAGTGTCATCCTCGTGGTAGAAAAATACAACGGGATATGCGTAAGTATGGCCGACCGCAAGGGAGAAAAAGGGAAACGGTACGGAACGTTGCTTTTAATGGACAAGCTAGAAGGAAAGAGCTACGACTGAGAAATCTCGGCTAATTTCAAAAATTGCGATCGATGGCGAAGCTTTATAAAAAATAATGAATTTGTAACTAATCGGCAATAATGTCAGAAAAAAACCATCAAACAGCAATTAACAGCATGTGTGGCTACTTATAAAATATAATATAAATCTTGTAAAACAGATCTTTCTCTCTCTTTCTTTTAAGATAGAAAAAAGAAAAACGAAAAAGAGAAGTAAACGTGTCTGAGGAGAATTTAAATAAATTTTATCGTAAACTCAATGAAACAAAACATTTTAATTTATTTGCGAAATACGGTTACTGTACGAAGAAGTTGCGTCCGTGTTTATTTCGACGAATCGTTAACGTAATAAAAACAGCTTCAAAATTTTTTTAAATTCGGCACATGTTTTTATTGATTGTTATTTTTATATATTTTTTCAGTTAAATTGATAATATCTTTGGTTTTGATATCGCAGCTCACCCCTCCGCGACCTCTGAAATTCCATTTGTATTTCAAATGTGCACGAAATTTTGCACCTGTTCCTCTATCGATTGCGCGTGGTACTCGATACTAGATACTTGATACTAGACGTAAACGTGGAATGGAAAATAATGAAAGTTGCTTGTATGACGTGACTCCGTGGCCACTCCTGCTGTTTGACCCACGGTTGCCTCTTGATATAACTCACAACCAGCTCCCAGATTCTGGAGCACCTATTATCTGGATGACGCAATTGTCACGTTTCTCGTGGACCGTTTATGACGAGGACGGAAATTCTACGGCTGGATTCGGATGTCATTAAGCTTTTCGTGGCGGTCTGAGCGTTCGTACCGCGCGAAATATTAAGGCACTCATCGAGAGATTTACGAGACGAACGGAATAAAATCGCGTCGTGCCTGCGATCGGAGGCAGTTAGTCGCGCGATTGACAGCGCATCTGTTAACAATGATTTTGCTACCGTTTAATTTTCGCTTTCTCCGCTCCGATCCATTCTGTTTGTCTTGGGGAGAAAACAATTAACGAAGTCGATGATTCCGTAAAGTGAGTTTCGCTCGTGCGTTACCGCGCTCCGCATTACTTTACATATTTTGCTCTTGAGAACTTGAGTCTTTCCGATTAACGTGCGCCGACACCGACTGCACACTGTAGCCCGAACGTTTCCACAAGATTACATTTTCGACGAAAACACAATTTAGGTACACGCGATAAGACGTCCTCGCTGGCTGCGCATAGTTCGGTGCGCTTTAATTCACATACATATCTCGCAGCTGCTTCCTCGCGATTTTGCCGGTAGTCGTGCGCGGCAATTGGTCCACGATTTTAACACCGCCGCGGAGTCTGCAATAATCCGGCAAGTTTTTTTCCACATAGCTGATAAGCTCCTGCTCCGTTACCTGCGTGTGAGACATAAATGCACGATAAATGCGACGTCGGGCGTGGTATGGCCAACACAGCATACTTTCATGGATCGCGCTTGCGGTATCGGCGCTTCCACGCCGTCAAACGCTCGCGAAACACTTACCGATTTGTTCGGCACTTGGACAACAAAAGCCTTCGGATGTTGCTCGTCGACCTCGTTGGGTATCCCTAACACCGCCGCTTGGAGCACCGCGGGATGAGTCATTAAAACGGTTTCGATCTCCGCGGGCGAAACGTTGATGCTTCGAAAATTGATGAAATCGGATATCCGGTCGACGATGTATATCTCCCCGTTATCGTCGTAATACGCCAGATCGCCGGTGCGTAACCAACCTGAAACGCATTTCCGTGCGTTATCTGCTTGACTCTCTGTTTAATCGCGTCTCCATGATAACTCATGTCCGCGATCAAGACCGTATCGGAATACCCGGCAAACTTTAATCAAGACGCGTACCGTCAGAATCGAAGGCCTGTTTCGTTGTTTCCGGATTCTTGTGATATCCTTGCATTATGGTGATTGCTTTCACGCGTAGCTCTCCGATCTTGTTAGGTCCTAGCGCTTCCTCCGTGTCCAGATCCACCATCTTTATGCGAACGTTAGATGATACATAACCGACTGATCCTAGTTTCGTGAATTTATTTTGCGCACTGACCACGCATGCGGTATCAGTCATTCCTGCACGAAAAGATTTGTCTCGTTACAGTTAAAAGAACACGAATGGATTTATTCTATGAGCAGACTGACAGTCGCCTCCACATATAATTTCTTTGCTGTACGAGAAAATCTACTTGCTTGTAACACTTTATCTTATCAGTCCGTCTTTTTTCGTGTAGAATTCAGTAGTAGTATTCAATAGTAGTAAATATATAATGTGCCGTAAAGTTTTGGTAATTCGAAATTTATCACATATATACGCGCGCATATTTAAAGAAACTTGATCTTATTCTCAAATTTTTTTAAACCAAACAGTATTCTTTTCTCTAAGATTTGCGTCAGGAATTTTCTTTCGAATTTATGCAGTTTCATGTTGTACTTAATGCAACATTTAAACTCCATTAACGAATCGAACAGGTCAAACATTATCGTACCAAATGGTATAGATATAACAAAATTTTACAGGATTGAGACTCAGTTCGATGGAAATTATGGATGCGTATTCACGAGGTAGAGAGCTTGAGGCTTGGCTCGTTAATGTAAATTTGACTTAGCTAATTTAGGTGCAAATAGAGCCGAGGGTTAGAACGAGAAGTAATTATGTTCAATTCTTTTGAATCAAACCGACTCACCATAATGATTAGTGATGAAAACATCAGGTAATTTCTCGCGCATTACTTCTAAATGCTCTTTCCTGAGATGAGCCCCACTAGAAAGAATCACTTTCAAGGTTGGCAATCGATATTTCTCCAGCAATTGGCTTTTAATGAACTTGATTATCATGAATGGATCGGTACCGAACCAGGTTATCTGAAGATCAAAACAAAATTAACTGTTAAAATAAAACCGTATTTCTGCTTCTGGTCGCCATTTCCCAAGTTATCTCTCAAGATACTAGATTTGCTTAAGAACTGTTTTTCCTCTTACTTGATATTTCTCGATAAGTTGGCAGAAATTCTCGGCATCGTCATTGTCCGGAACGATGAGTTTCTTCGCGTTCGCCGCAACAAGCCTGAAGGCCATCAAAACACCGTAATGCCAACGCATTGTGGGTGTAACTATGCAAGTATGGCCCACCAAGGTGCGGTTTTTGTAGGGATGTAAGCAGCAGAACAAAGAATAGTGCGATATTTCCGTGCCCTTTGGTAGGCCCGTAGTACCCGAAGAGGGAACTATAAGAGCAACGTCGTCCGGGTTTGTAACATGGCATTTAAATTCGATGATCTCGCGAGTGTCATGGCCCTTCATAACGTTCTCCTCCACAGATTCGTACCCGTCCAACTTGTCCATAACCACCACTTTCAAGTTCATCTTCAGTTCCTTAGCCGCTTCCATCAAATTCGCGGTCGATGAACTTACCGTGAAAACTATCTTTGGTGATGTTAGCGTGAGAAAGTACCGCGCCGTCACTAAACGAATTAATTAATTAAAAGCGCGTACGTTTTAAATCTGTTGCACACTCTAAATTTATTGCAAATTATCTTTTA